CCCCTCCCTCTCCAGTCCAAAGAGCAGTCAGGGTTCCCTGCCCTGTGGAAAGTCCAAAGTCCTCCCCCCTCCATCCTGGTCTAGGAAGGAGAACATCCAAACTGGCTAGGCTCCCACAAAGCCAGGACATGAAATAGGATCAAAACCCAGTGCCATTGTCCTTGGCTTCTCAGCAGCCCTCATTGTTCGCCATATTCAGAGAGTCCGGTTTTATCCCATGCTTTTTCAGTCACAGTCCAGCTGGCCTTGGTGAGCTCCAATAGATTAGCCCCACTGTCTCCGTGGGTGGGTGCACCCCTTGTGGTCCTGATTTCTTTGCTCATGTTCTCCCTCCTTCTGTTCCTCATTGGGACTTTGGGAGCTCAGTCCAGTGCTCCAGTGTGGGTCTCTGTCTCTATCTCCATCCATCGCCAGATGAAGGTTCTATGGTGGTATGCAAAATATTCATCAGTATGGCTATAGGATAGGATCATTTCAGGTTCCCTATCCTCAGCTGCCCCAGGAACTAACTGGGGACCTCGCCTTGGGCACCTGGAAGCCCCTCTAGGTCAAGGGCATTTGTACAACTATGTTCATAGCAGCATTATTTGTAATAGCCAGAACCTGGAAACAACCTAGATGCTCTTCAATGGAAGAATGGATGAAGAAAGTGTGGAATATATACACATTAGAGTACTACTCAGCGGTAAAAAACAATGACTTCTCAAATTTTGCATGCAAATGGATGGAAATAGAAAATAGTATCCTGAGTGAGGTAACTCAGACCCAAAAAGATGAACAAGGGATATACTCACTCATAATTGGGTTCTAGCCATAAATAAAGGCCAGTGAGTCTATAATTTGTTATCCTAAAGAAGCTAGATAAGAAGGTGAACCCAAAGATAAACATATAGCTATCCTCCTGGGTATGGGACGTAGACAAGATTGCCAGGCAAAAATCGGGATCTTAAGGGTGGGGTGGGAGGGGGGTAAGAGGAGATGGGGAGAGAAAAGTGAGAAGGGTAGGATGGGGAGAACTTGGGGCAACGGGATGATTGGGATAAAGGAAGGTTGGATATGGGAGCAGGGAAGCACATATCTTAATTAAGGGAGCCATCTTAGGGTTGGCAAGAGACTTGTAGTTTCTTGACCGTAATTGTCTTCCATAGTGTCAGGGAGAGTGGTACTATTAAGAGGTGTGGTTTAATTTGTGTGCTTATGGTCTTGTTAAGGGAAACATGTCACTGTGGGGGTGAACTTTGAGGTTTCCTTTGCTTAGAATACTGCTCAATGTCTCAGTCAACTTACTGTTTGCTGCAAGGAATTCAGCTATTCCTCCAGCACCACATTTGCCAACATGCCACCGTGCTCCCCCATGCCCTGACAATAATGGACTAAAACTCTGTACTTTAAGTGGGCCATCTCAATTAACTGTTTTCTTCATAATAATTGTCTTCCTTATATATTTCTTATGGGTTACAATGGTCAAAGTATCTCTTCACAGCATTAGAAACCCTGAGACATTAGTATGTATGTATCACATTTCCATTACACTACATTACATTTGTTGGTTGTTTAATATTAACACTTTTAATTTCTTAGCTATCTTGATTAGTGCAGCAATGAACTTAGTTGAGCAATTTTCTGTGAAGTATGATTTTTGGTCTTTAGATATATGACCAGGATTGGTATAGTTGAGTCATATTGTGTTTTTATTTTTAATTTTTCAAAACTCTTCACACTGATGTCCTTGGTGGTTTTGCAAGTTTGAAATCTCTCCATCATTAAATGACAGTTCCTATTTCTTCATAAGCTCTCCAGAATTTGATGTTGGTTGTTTGATTGAATTTTACCATTCTGACATGGGTAAAATGAAATCTCAAAATTGTGTTGATTTAAATTTCACTAATTTCTACAGATGATATACATTCATTGATACATTTCTTAGGCACGTTTATTTTTTTCTTTGAAAACAACCTCTTCATACCCCAGTACATTTTTTTGAATGGGCCATTTGGTTTTAGTTTTACTCATTTTTTTTAATTTTACTCATTTTTTTCTTAATCTTTGAGTGTATTGGAGATATTAAACCTTCATTAGATTTATAAATGAGAAAGATTTTTCTCCCATTAGAGGAGGTGATAGATATGGGTCTTATATAATCATTCTGAGTATGGACATCCTGTTTTCACAAAATCATTTGTAGAAGGCAATTTCTTCATTTTCAGTATATGTTTTGACCTCTTTGTCAAATATTAATTGATTAAAGTTGTGTGTAGTCATGTTTATGTCTTATATTGTGTGTCATTGGTGTACATGTCTCTTTTTCTGTTAATATTATGATGATTTCATTACTATGGCTCTACAGACTAATATTCTAGTCCCGTCTGGTAGCCTAGTTTGTATAATTTAGCCATGATGGGCACTAAGATGAAGAAAATCCTGAGAATTCTTCCATATCTGTGCTGTGGTGGCCAAGAAAGAATAAAGACGATTTCTGATAGAGAACCCTTACTAAACAATCCCATCAAAGCCTTCTAGTGACCTTCAGTGCCAAATACCAGAAAATATTATTAGAGATAGAGACATTGATAAAAGGAGATGTGACATTTAAGACTCTATATTTGCTGACATGAGTGATTTATATTTTGAGGTTTGGAAGGTAACTTACAGTACTATTGACAATAACAAGTTGCAATGCCTTCAGACTCCTAGATGCTGATGGTGAATGAAATCTATTTCAAATCCACTACTATGGAACCTCTTTTGGATCCCAAAGTGTAATTGAATATTTACACATTTCAGTAGTTTCGCAGCTCTGTCTGGTTAATGTTGATGCCATTCTAGTCTCTTACTAATTCTCTGATTTGCCCAACAAGTCATAGTAACACTATTTTTGAGAGCTGTAGACAAGGAGGGTCAAAACTAGGTTATTCAGTGAAAGCTGAATGAAGAAATTACATTGTCGAAAACATAAAGATAACTATAATTTTGGCTGAACCTTTCTTTGTTGCATTTATTAATAGAATTCAGACTAATATACTAGTCACTGAAGCAGTTTATTTTTAATTGTATATGGTTCATACAGAAACTGATGAACAATCATTGTGCTTAGAACAAGTGACTGTCGAGTGCTCAGTCATAAGCAAATTACCACATCACCAACTCTAAGATATGAGGAAATTGAAGAAGATGATGGATAAAAATTTAAGTTCCAGACAATGAGGATGCTTTCTTATAAAAGTAACATAATTGTGGCAAGTATTAAAACACAACTGTTGTGGAAAATTAGTTAAAGATGTGTTACATTCATTACACTGCAGAATATTTGCTTAATGATGCACAGATGTGATGCATCTTTTATGTTGCATTTGTTTAACATGTAAAGCTCTATTACTGGGCCTGTATTAAACACCTAATGAAGAGTGAATGACCAATAATTCGGCAGGATAGGGTTGGGCTGCCAGGCAGAGAGTATAAATAGCAGGATAAATCTTGGTTCTGGAAGACTAGGAAGGAGCAAGGAAAAGGAGGAAAGGAGGGTGACAAGGGATGGTCACCTAGACACAGAGCCAGAAACAGAGTACAAAGTAAAGAAACACATATAGATGACAGAAAGATAAAAGCCCAGATGACAGGTAGCTGGAATAATTTAAGTTAAGAAAAGCTGGCTAGAAAGAAGCCAAGCTAAGCCTTGGCATTCATAAGAAAGAATAAGTCTCTGTTTAATTATTTTAGAACTGGGTGTGCCACTGGCCCCAAACAGCAAAGGATATATATATATATATATATATATATATATATATATATATATATATATGAGCAACAGTGTCTGTATCATATTTCTAATCTATATGACTTTATTTAGTGTCTCCCCACTGGAATACATAATATCTGAGATTAGGGGGCAGACTGTATTCATAAGATTTCATATCATTTCCATATTTTTGTATGTATGTTTAATAAGCCTTCTTCTTAGTCTTTATTTCATAATAACAATAAGGATGAATGGTTTTTTACTGATGACTGCGTATTACATTCATACAATTATTTGTTATTCTCTGAGTACACACAATGAGGAACACTCCAGGCTCTGACTTTTCAAAATTATTTTCCAAGCAGACTAGCATTTCCACTATTGTCATCCTTGTAGATATTCCTCTGGCTCTGACTTAGTCTATTTCACATCTCTCCAGTAGGCATAAAAACATATGTTCATTTTGTCTGTGAACTTTAACTGAGCAGATTTCATTGTTGAAACCTCTCAAACATGATGATCCTGAAAATTCAATGTATTTAGAATGGGAGAAATCTTCTCCCACGTGCTCAGTGCAGTTTATAACAACAGGTTTTCCTGAGTAGAATCTAAAGCCCAAATGTCCTCTTAGTGTCAGCTTGAGACAAATGGGTAAAGTTATGATAGATGCTGCAAAAATAAATACTTTTATTTCTTCTATTTCAAAAGTGGCTTTTATCTGTATGTGATATTTGTGGAAATATCTTCAGATCATAAATTATACAACAGACTGGTTTTCCGTGAGATTTATGTGCTCAGGGCTGATATATTACACTAGGATAAATGAACAAGTCCTTGGTTGAACAGCTGTCAGAAAAGGGAGATGGAAGATCTGGAGCCTCAGATTTTCTGATGTATATTGCAGTCATCTTAGCTGAACTTATAATGAAAAAATAAATAACACACTACAAATTAGAACCTATTTCCATATAGGTCAAATCAAGCCTTGCTATGTAGAAACATGTGAGGAATACTCTGGAACAGGATTGTGTAATAATTGAAAAAAAATTAAGGTTTGGTTAAAAAACATTAAGTTGGGTTTTTACCAACATAAATACTACAAATAAGTGAAAACACAAGTCTTTGTGAGCTAAAAACATCTTAGCCTACATGATGTTGTTTGCATATCTAGTCCTCAGAAACCACAGATGGCTAAATCTTCTTTTTGTGATATAATGAGCTTAGAAATAAGAAGTTTGTGGTTAGAGACACAGGCCCGAAAAAAATGGGTTTGCTCATGGAAACTGTTAACTTGCTGCTACTTTGTGCCCTGGGTGAGAAACAGGGAGACTCTAAGCTCAAATATAGCATTCTTTATGTCATGGATGTTTTCATCTAAACAAGTATATTTCCTTCCTCCTTTTCCTGTCACTCTATGTAGTTCAGTGCATAACTGATGCAGGAACTGGATTTTGTATTCTTACAAGTTGAGTGGAGGATGCTGATTAACACTCTAGGCTTTCCAAATGTTTGAGAACATAAAGGAAACAGGATGAAATCATGTCAGTACATCAGAAAGAAAACATGTTGACTTAATTCAGCTGGTTACAGATCTACAACATCACCTGAAAGAATCCTTATAGACAGTGTGATGACTTGAAAGACCTGACATTTCAATGGCTTTTGAAATGTTTCTTTTTACAATTTTTCCAATATTTAGTATTGCTGATTGTATAAATCTATGAAAATGAACTCTTTTCTTGCTTATAGGTTTCTTTCTCTTTTAAAAATTTTCCACATTTTTTTAAAGCATTGAGGCGGGGTATTTGACTCAACAACATTACCCCAACAGGATATTTGGGGTAATGAAGAAAATGACTGTGAAACAATGTGATTGTGAACATTGTGATTTCCAGAGTCTCTTGTTGCTTTAGTGAGAAGGATCTAAAGACCTGTACTTTCTCCACACTAAATTAGTACCACCTTAAAATGTGGTTTCCCTGTGCCCCTCTCAAGCCAAAATGTATACAATTCTCCAAAGACCATACATATGATATTAGAATTAGGCTAACTCTACTACTAATAATGTGTTTTTCTACTGAGTAATCTTATCATACTGCACATTTTTATATATAATAAATTATGAATGTCATGGAGGTATAATCAGCATTCCAAGAATTAGAAAGTACTTTGACTATATTCTTATTTTCTCCATGGCAATGGAATATGCTTGAAAATAGACTTGTATAGGAAATTGAGGATGACAGATTTGGCATGGACAGGGGCTGAACCAGTCATATCTTATGAGTCATAATTACTGTGGGATCTTCCTGCAATGCAACTTTATGAAGGGAGTAAAGGTAGAGGCAGCCACCTGAAAGCTGATCAGACACTGTGGGAATCCAAACATGAAACAGATTTGTTGCAAGTGAAGTCTTAATTCTCAGAGAAAAATTCAGAGGAAGACCTTCTTTATTTCCTTTAGATGTGGGTCAGTTATAGCATACACAAAGATTGATGTCCACCATCTTTCCTAACATGGACTGTGAATAATAATGAAATAAATTCTTTTGGTATGGAGAGAGCAAATACGCTCAATATAAACATTTTGTGGGTAATGATCTGGGCCAAGATTATGTGGTGCAGCAAAAATGGTTAGTCAGGCCGGGTGGTGGCACACGCCTTTAATCCCAGCACTCGGGAGGCAGAGGCAGGCGGATCTCTGTGAGTTCGAGACCAGCCTGCTCTAGAAGAGCTAGTTCCAGGACAGGAACCAAAAAAAGCTACGAAGAAACCCTGTCTCAAAAAATCCAAAAAAAAAAAAAAAAAGGTTAGTCAGTACATAGTTGAGTGAGTTCTAAGAAAACATAATAGGAAGGGAAGAGTAGTATAAATGTGACTCTATGTTTGAAAAGGGGGTATAAGCCAACAAAATATTTCATATTCAGGGGCTGGTTGGAATGATGGCTCATCAGTTAAAAGCACTTATTGTTCTTGCAGAGAAATGATAATTCCCAGTACTCATATAGTGGTTTGAAACAGCTATGTTACCCTCTTCTGAACTCTGTGTGAACAGGACATACTGGTATTGCACACACAGTAAAATGGACATATAAACAAAAACTTTAATTATAATTTACAGAAGTGTTCACATAAGAATCAAAATAAATGACATTGCCAGATCAACTGTATTTTTTCAAGGCAGTTGCTGTCAACCATGAAATAAATTACTACTTTGATGGATTCACTATGCTTGTGAGTATGATTTTACTGCTTAAATTAAACATACACTTATGGTGTCAGTATGTGAAATATGTTCATGTTATTACATAAAATTAGGTCAGAGTGCACAGATTTTTTTATTTGTTGCAGACTATCTGATAAATCCATCAATACAAAATCTATGACCACATACATCATAATACTTCTGTCTTTTATTTACTGGTTAATCAGTTTCTGGCCGTTCAATCTCTCCTAAGTCTATCATAATATTACTCCTGCCTGATATTGAAACACCATCGGCACCACTTGGGCTATAACTCCCTTTGTTTGCCTCCTACGCTTACTTTCTTACATGGTTTTCTCATCATGAAGCTTGTCTTCCTCTGTACAAACCTTTAGATACATATCATCTCAATATCTGGAAGAAATATGATGCCCACAGCATGTGCAAGCTATAAACCGTTTTACATTCAAGGACATAAGGGATAATTTCTTAGAGAAATCTTGTATTCCTTAAAGACAATTATTTGTGATGAGGAGGGAGAGTAGTCAGTTCCTATAATCTGAGGTTTCACAGAAACCATGGGCATAGATATAATCCCAGTGAGATCTGGAAAGGGAATTCATATGCACAGATGGAAGGGAAGAAAATCTATGATCTTTTTTGGTTTTCATTGAAGTAGTTCTGGCATAGTTGACATATGATAAATAAGTTAAATCAAACAGTTTACCTAAAATATGTGTTAGTTACAGGAGATCCCACCCTTCCTTACAAATCATGTCTATAAATTCTCTTCTATTTCTCGTGTAAGAATCTTTGTGGGCAAGGTACTGCATCATACTTTGTAGATATCAGTCCCAGCAGTTACATCTACACAATATGCCCATTTCAAAGTCTCCAGGAAAGTTTTTAAAATTGGGATGCAAATATTATAAGTGGAATTTGCTGAGAGATTTTTGCCATCAGAAGATATACACGTAAATTCTCAACAACATTACTAACAAATTTGAGTTGAACAGAGAGTACACCAAAATCATGACAAATTAGATGGGGGAAAGCCCATGAGGTTCGATTTTACACCAAGAATTAAAGACAACTGAGTATAGTTGGGATTAGGGTAGGGGCCTCTCCTTAGGAAAGAGCACACCAGTTTGTTACCCATGGTACAATGATAAACTATGAAAATATACATTCAGGTATCATTATCCTGACTTAACAGCTAATATTTAGGAATATTCATATATATGCATACAATAACAAAATAATAGAAAAAAACACATTTTAAGCAATGAATTTTAAAGAAATGAAGAAGAGTATAAGACAGATTTGAATGGAGGGGGTAATTGAATGAAGGAAAATATTAGAGAAATGCCATAACTAAAATACAATTTCACAAATAAATAGAAAAAAAGAAGTCACTGCATGGCCTATATATAATTTACTGCTATAAAAAAACTGCTATAAAAAAGTGCTTTTTTCCAGACATTGTTTCTCTGTTTACAGTGACACTTTTAAGTTTTTATGTACTGGCTACATTATACCATATTTTACATCCCTGACATGAAGCAAAACAACAAGAAAATTGTATATTGAACATGAAGAAATCAAAATAAAATATAGTTCTTATCTAGCACTGTTATTTATTGTCTGAAGAGGACACATTCCCTACAAAGAAATATGTGTTGCCTTTCTTATCTGAGATGTAAGAAGACCGTGGACCTTTAATAAGCCATCACCTTGGCCAGTTCTATGACTGTACTCAGTTATTGTTGATTTGCATAGGCCCAGAGCATGCCTACTGCACTTCTTCATAATCAGGTCAGATCTGTGCTGGAGTCAGTCACAGACTGGTCACAGCACAGACATGAGGGTCCCCACTAAGCTTCTTGCCCTGCAGCTACTCTGGCTTATAGGTAACAATTTAATTTTTATATAGAAATTTTCAAATAGCTTTGAGTTTAGTCTGCTCAGTACTTTGTTGTGTCTGTAAAAGCTATCTTAAAATTAATTGTAAAAAAAAATTCTTTTCAATTTCTGATCTCAGGTGCCAGATGTGACATACAGATGACCCAGTCTCCAGCCTCCCTGTCTGCATCTCTGGGAGACAGTGTCACGATCACATGCCAGCCAAGTGAAAGCATTGGCTGGAATTTAGCATGGTATCAGCAGAAACAAGGGAATCCTCCTAAACTCCTGATCAAAGCTGGAGATGAACTGGCAAATGGAGTCCCTTCCAGGTTCAGTGGCAGTAGATCTGACTCACAGTATTCTCTCAAGATTAGTAGCCTGCAGCCTGAAGATGTAGCAACTTATTACTGTCAACAGTATAGTAAATTTCCTCCCACAGTGATACAGGTCATAACACAAACCCACAAGGAAGCAGAACTATGTGGCATGGCTGTACCAGCTGTTCCTCCAGGTGGGCCACCCACTGCAACTGTTTCTCAGATATAGTGTATTGAGCATAACCCATGATGAATCATTTTACTTTGTTAGGAGAGGTTAACCAGTTCTCTCTGTAGTCTATTATTCTTCTGCTTCATTTCCAACACTACAGAGCACAAACGTCTTTTCTGCCTTAACAGAGAACCCAATTGTTCTGTGTGATGAGCCTGAGTTGTATCATCAGTTGGGACTCATACAGAAGAGTGAATGCTTCTGTGGACATTATAGAACATGTTCTTTATTTACAGAAAACTAACTCTAAATGCCCATATTTAAAAGATAGGGAATTATTTCTGAGAGAAAGTATTCCAGGTTTTCTCAGAAAAGCTGGAGCACATGTGTCAGAGAAAGAGAAAACTGCTGTGTCTTCATATTCAAGCAGTGTGTGTTTATGCTTTCACCTGTCTGCAACTCTTCACATAGGATTTTTCTGGCTTCTATGTCAATGGTCTTCCTACAAGTACCAAACAGCATTGAATGACTCTAATATGACTTTTAATCCCACAGTATTAAATGGAACATAGACTTTTCTATATGAAATCAAAGAAAGTAAAGGACTGTCTAAAAATATGCTTGCATAAGTAATATTGATAAAATGTTGATATTCCAGGGCATACTTTTAAGAACTGTTCAAGACATCAAAACAGCAAAAGTGATCTGCACTCCAATCTCTCTCTCTCTCTCTCTCTCTCTCTCTCTCTCTCTCTCTCTCTGTTTCAGTTTCTCTCTCAGATATATCATCTATTATGTATGAATAAATATATTTTCCATTTCTATTTTTAGTTTTTCAAGACAAGTTTTTATTTTCCAACTTAATGAACTCTTTCTTTTCTGCCTGTGTATATACAGTTTATAAAGACTTAATTACTGCAGATTTATATAAATAAAACAAATGCATCAGAAAATGTAATATCATATGTCTAGAATTTTCTTAATTATTCCTTTTAATAAATTTCTATGTAAATTATAGACTGAGTTTATCAACTTTTGAAACTTCACAAATATTCATTGCATTGCATAGAATTCACATGCCTATTTGAGAAAATATATTTTTAAATGTTTCACTGAGATTGAAAGAATGCTCCCCAATAAAGAGGAATTGTAGTACTTGAAGATGAACTTGGTTTGTTTCTCAGCTCCCACACAGCAACTGATAGCTATCTTTAAGTTCAGTTTCAGATATTCCAGTATCTTTTTCTAGTTTTTAAAGCCACAAGGAATGCACACTGTATACTTACATAAATGGAAACAAAATACTCATAATTTAAAAATGATAAAATGGTTTACATTATGAACATAGATATATTCTCAGTTAATTTGTGTGCTCTCAAATGTATAAGGCCCATTCTACTATGTTCATGTATGTGGAATCTTTTTTCCTTTATTCTTCCCCCTTATGATATGTATTTACCACATCCTCCTTTTTCTTCACTCCTCTCAGCAGGCCCCCAACTTTGTTTCTCCCCTACTCTGATCCAATGCTCATTCATTTCTATTCAGAAAAGAGCAGAACTCACAAAATTCAAACAATCATCATGGAATAAGGTGAATAAAAGACTAGGCTCAAACCTTTATATCAAGGCTCAATTAGGTCACCCAGTAGGAGGAAAGGGGACTCAAAACAAGAAAAACAGTCAGAGACATCTCCACTCCCCATTTTTAGGAATTCTACAAAATCCACAAGCTAAACAACCACAACATAATTGCAATGAACCTAGCACAAACTCATGCAGCTGCCGTGATTGCTGATTCAGTCTCTGTGAGACCTTATTAATCCTGCTTAGTTGATTCTATGTGCTGTGTTTTCTGGGTATCCTAAACACTCTGTTTCCTAAAATCTTTCCACTCTTTTCTACTTCAGAGGGGTTCCCTGAGCTCCATTTAATAAGTTTTGTTTGGGTCTCTGAATCTGCTTCAGTCAGATGATGGAGGAAGCCTCTCTGAGGAAAATTGGTCTAGGCACTTATTTATGAGTATAGGAGAATAGCACTAGGAATCATTTCAATGACTTATTTTGCCATCCTGTTTGGTTCATCTAGTTTCCAATTCCTGTTAATTCAGGTAGTGACAAGCCTGGATGATATCATGTGGCATGGACTTCAAATTGTCAATGATTGGTTGACCACTGCCACAAGCTCTGTATTACCATTGCCACAGCACATTTTGTAGTCAGAATTAGTTGTAGAGGAAAGATTTGTGCCTGGATAGGTGTCACATTCCTGACACTGGAAGCCTTGCCCCATTACAGAAGATGGCGTTGTCAAGTTCTATATCCTCCAATATTTGCTTTTCTTGCTAGTATCACCCTCCTAATTTTAAGAAAGTTTCCACTGCTGTAGGGTTCCACATCACTCTCCTGTACTTTCATGCCATTGCTCCCTCCTCTGCCTGATCCCTCCTGTTTCTATCCACACCTGTACTCAACCCACCACAAAATATATTATATTTCTTCTACTTAGGGCTATTAATGCATGTTGTCACTAGAACCTTTCTTGTTATTTAATATTTCTTGGTCTGTGCATTCTAGCATGTTTATCATTTACTTAAGAACTAATGGTCACTTATAAGTAAACATACAACATGTAACATATTTATTTTTGGATCTAAGTTACTTCCTTTAGAGTATCTTTTTAATTACATCCATTTGCCTGCAAATTTCTTGTCATTTTCTTAATTTTTTTGAATCCAATTTTGTAAATGTGCCATATTTTCCCTATTCTCTGTGCTCCTAAGGGACCTCTAGATTTTTCAATTTCTGGCTCTCATGGATAAAGCCACTAAGAACATCTCTGAGTAAGTGATCTTCTTTTATGATAAAGCATCTTTTGTGTATGCCCAAGACTAGTATATCTGGGTCTTGAGGTAGATGACTACCAATTTTCTGACATTGCGCCCTATTAATTTCCATTTTGGCTGGACAAGCTTACACTCCCATCAGCAATGGAGGAATGTTCCCGTTGCTTCACATCCTTACCAGAAAGAACTGTCACTGGTGTCATGGATCTTAGTCATTCTGATAGGAATAAGATGAAATCTTAATAATTCTAAGGGGTGGAGTTTCATTCTTTTTGATTTGTATTAACCTGATTGCCAAGGGAAATGTTCATTTCCTTAAGTGTGTTTCAGCCATTTTAGTTTTTTTTTATAGAGAATTTTCTGTTTAGATAACATGGTCTAGTTTCTTAAAGTTTTTATATATTTTGGAGAGTAGCCCTCTGTCAGATGTGAACTTGATGAAAATATTTGCCCATTCTGTAGGCTGTTCTATTAAAGCTTACATAAGATTTTCAGTTTCATCAGAACCCACTTATTAAATTTTGCTCATAATGCCTGCTCTTTCAGTGTTCTATTTAGGAAGTTGTCTCTTGAGCCAATGCACTCAATGCTACCCCCTACAGTCTGTTCTTTCAAGTTCTGTATGGTGGGTTTATGCTGAGTTCTTTGATCCTGTTAAACTTGAGTTTTGTTCATGTTGATAAATATGAGAAAAAAACAGAGTTTCTGTCTCATGTCAGGAGCCATGGTATGGGACAGGTTAAAAGAATTTAGAAAACATCTTTGCTTTTCTTCATATCTATCATACCTTTCATTGAATATATATGTCTGTATATGTCTATATAAATAATGTTAAGTTTTACAACATTCTGGCCCAACCTCCCCCAAAATAATCAGAGACTATTGCAACCTTTGAGGTTCCCCTCAGCAAGTTTCATTTTAGCTTAAAGAGAAATTTCATAGGATCAGAGAGAAGATTAAAAAAGAGCAATTTTGTTAACTATGTAGGAGTTTTTGAGAAGTTCATAAATAGATTGGTTACTAAAAATTACAATATAAAGTTCTTTTCTTCTTTTTATTTATTTATTTATTAAAGATTTCTGCCTCCTCCCCACCACCGCCTCCCATTTCTCTCCCCCTCCCCCACCAAGTGTCCCCCCCCCCCCCCCCCCCCCCCGTCAGCCCAAAGAGCAATCAGGGTTCCCTGCCCTGTGGGAACTCCAAGGACCACCCACCTCCATCCAGGTCTAATAGACGAATGCCTCAGTGTGATCTATGCTGCAACAAGGTATCAAGGATTTTATTCAGAATTAAAGTGAACATCAGGAAATATACAATTCAACACAAGAAAAGCCCCTGCATGAAATCTACAACTCAGGAAATGTTAGTATTCAATGTAAGTCAAGAGAACAACCCCCACAATTTTAATGCTATGTAGGGTTGGGTAAGATATTTAGGACAGAAAAGTTTATCTGGTCTCTATACAAAACCATAAAATAGACCCTAGAATCTTGGAAAAAGAAAAGAGAAACACTCTCAGCATCTGCAGACACCACAAGGAGCAATTGGGGCAGCCTAGTCTCTCACTTCTGCTTCCCCAGGTGGTTTATGCTATGACTTGAATCACTGTGGGAGGTAAACTATTATACTGTTGACAGTAATAATTAGCCACATCTTCAGGCTGCAGGCTGCTGATCTTGAGAGTAAACTGTGTGCCAGATCTAGTGCCACTGAATCTTGATGGAACCCCTTCTGCCAAGCTGTTTGCATAATAGATCAGGAGCTTAGGAGGGCTCCCTGTTTTCTGCTGGTACCATGCTAACAAGCTACCAATGTTCTGACTTGCCTGGCATGTGATGGTGACACTGTCTCCCAGAGATGCAGACAGGGAGGCAGGAGACTGGGTCATCTGAATGTCACATTTGGCACCTGAGATGGAAAAATTAAAAACAAATTCACAATTCTATTATAAGAGAACTTTTCTGGACACCAGACAACACTGTCCACACTCAGCTGAACGATTTTCATTTTCTAATGTTGTCTTCCTTACCTGCAAGCCAGAGCAGCAGCAAGCCCAGGAGCTGATTGTGGGCCTTCATGTCTGTGCTGTGTCCTGTGTGTGTAAGGCTGACTCCAGCACAGGGTGTGACCTGACTATGAAGAATTGCTCAGTGTAGTACTGTGATCTGGGCATATGCAAATCAGCAAGGGCTGGACACAGACACAGGATTGGT